ACATCCCTCTGGGCGCAGACCATTGCATCAACGCCCAGAATTGACAAGCAGCATGCGATTGTGCTGTAGTGTTAACGGAGCCTGCAGGCTCTCTTCCCATTCTCCCTCTCCCTCGCAATCACACACATGCAAACCACGACATGAATGCCGGGCACACAAAGCACGATATACAGAGAACATCCCATAGGCAAAAATGCCCATGATCAAAGAAAAGGAAGGTCGACCAAACACCAAATGAGAAAAAGAAAAAAGAAAAAACTAGCCAACCTAGTGCGTATCGGTTTGCTTGGCAACGTGCATGGGATTATCAATTTCTGCGGAAGAAGAAGACGAAGAAAAAAAAAAAACAGAAAAAAAGAAAAGAAGAAGAATAATGGCAATCCGTGACCATGACTGCTTTCTGCACACACCTTCGTTTTTTTTTTTTCTGTCTTTGCAGACGCCTTAGTTTTTTCTTTTTTTCTTTTTTTCTTTTTTTCTTTTTTTCTTTTTTTCTTTTTTTCTTTCTTTGCACACGCCTTACTAGAAATGTCATAATCCACCGCATTTATAAAAAAAGGAAGGTGGAGGAGGCGGCGGCAAAATATACACACTATGCATGGGCCATCAGCATGATGATGCTGATATGATTATGTCAAAGGAAACCCAGAAAAAAGGGAGAACAGAACCGAGACGAAACAGGAGCCATTCCCATAGAAAACAACGAGCAGGAGGAGGAAGAGGAGGGGAAAGAGGGAGACAGAGAAAGGGAAAATTGAGGGAAAGGCGATCAGGGAAGTGGAATAAAGGGTAATTGTTGCTGGCCTTCTTTTCCATCACGCAAATCCCAAGAATCAACTTCTTCTTCTTCTCCTCCACCTCTTTCTTGAGGCCATCTTCGCGACGGTTGCGATCTGGTGTCCGGAGTTTCACCGTCAGCCCACGGCGTGGTGAGCCTGACATCTGGGCGTGAGAGAGGAGGCGTGAGAGAGGAGGTGAGTGCAAGTCACGACTCTCGAACGTCAACGCTCTGTCGGATCTCTGCCGCGCGACTGCGACCGCGCGCACGACTCCCTACCTCCTCCTGCCTAGCCTCTCCCCCGTATTCCCCACCTCAACTCGATCGGTGCGACGGCGGAATCGAGATGTCAGGCGCAAGTCCAAGCGCCAGTCCCGGCGCAAGGCCAGGGCGAAGTCCCGAAGCAAGTGCAGGCGCAAGTCCAAGCGCAATTGTCAAGGCGCAAGTTCGAGCGAAAAACGGCAAACAACGTATCGTCCGTTGATTTGACTCTTCACGAAGGACACTGAACTGCGCGGCTGCTGCTCTTGTCTCCGCCTGTGGAGAGACAAAGCGTGTCAATCAGATCCGCTGTCGGCGGAAGAGTGCGGCAAAGCTTGTGTCGATGAGATCGCTGTCGCGGGGAGGGGAGTGCGCGGCAACGCTTGTCGATCAGATCCGCTTTCGGGGAAAGAGCGCGGCAGTGAGCTGCAGGCGCTGGCTCTCTCGTTGCGACAGGGAGGCGGGGACGTAGAGCCGTGCGACAGCTCCCGGAAGCGCGGACTGGCGCGCTTTGCCAGGTCCGCACAAAGCCCCTCGCGCCTCCACCGCGCGTGGCCCAATTAAAGCTTTGCCAGGTCCGCACAAAGCGGCCCCCCCATCACCGCAAAATGCACCTCTGATAGTGGGCGTAACCGCTTACGAGCCGAGCTCGCTTAATGACCTGATACCACATCCTAACTCAATTCATAGCTGGAAACCGGGTCCAGCGTCCCGTCCTACTCGCTAGGCTTTCCAAAAAGGCTCATGAAGCACAGTAAAAAGGAGGGACTGAGACCGAACGCAGATTTCTTCTCCAAGTAGGCTCAGTCATGAGTATCCTTCAGCCAAGTGCAGAATGAAAACTGACCCTCCGTGTTTAACATGCCTAATCCGTTCTGACAGGCCCAGGTTTTACTAAACCAGATTAAGTTCCTTCTTTGCCAGTCCGCCTGAATGATCCTTCTGAGAATTTGCTTGGTTAGATGACGTTGATGTCTTGTTACAATATCTTCGCCCCTGAACACTCGAGCATTCCTTGCTGTCCAAATAACTTCCATTACAGCTCCTCTGCAACAAAGTGCTACGTAACCCCAGCCCACTGAGTAGCTTTTGTCTGCTGGGAGAATTCCTGTAAGCATCCAAGAGTCAGTCCATTCCAACGCCCCTTCTGTCATTGCCTCCCAGTGATGTTTCCACCACATCAGCAATTCATCCGCCAGAGGGCAGCACAACCATAAGTGGAGCATGTTTTCCCAACCCCAATTACATCTCAAACAGTGGGTGTCAATGTCCAGACCTCTTGAAGAAAGCCATGTTGCTGTTGCCATCACCAACAAGGACTGAAGCCACATCAAACTAGCTTGCTTCTGAACTGGGTACTTGATGAGTGCTTTCCATAATTTGCCTAAACCCTGTGGCGTCCGACAGTTGGTGAAACTCCGCCCTCCTCGTAGCCAGCTCCAATGGGGTATTCTGAATTTGCTTTTGCAGAACCTGTACTCCTAGCTTGGGACGGTATTGGACCAAAGGTACTACTTTCTCACGAGCTTTCATCCCTTCCCACCCCAGTAACAGAGGTTCCACTGAAAAATTGCTTGCTGCTCCCAACAGTATAGCGGAAGACTGTCTTCCATAACGTACATTCTCCAAAACTCGTACCTCCACCAATTCTTTTGTGGAGTCCAACCAATAGTTATCATCATTCAGGGACAGAGTGCCGTATCTTCCTGATCCCTGGGACAGTTTCCACTTCTGCGCCCTCATTCCAGAGGCCAGGTCTGGTCCCAAGACCTTAAAGACTTCAAATTGATGATGATCATCCCTTGTAAGCCAGGTACCTGACGAGTAATCCACATCTGGTTGCAGGATATTCACCCAGGCTAGAGGGATGGCTTCCTTCAACTCTGTAAAGTGGGCTTGAACTCTATGTAATCTCGGTAGGCGCCTTCTGAGATGGGAAAGATCTAAAAAGGACGAACTTTCAAAATCCCAGATGTCCTTAATCTGAATCACTCCTTTCTTAATCCAACTAAGTCCAAAGTTACCTGCAGCCTCCGCGGCAGAGAACAGGATCCCATCCTGTTTTCGGATACCATTATTTTCAAACAGGACTTGATTGAGGACCTCCTGCTTCGTCGCGGGCTCCCGACTATTGCAAGGGCGCAACTTACTCCAGGCTGCAAGAATATTTCTCCATACTTTGGACTAAGGTCTTCGACTGCAAAATGATGGGATAGTCATACAGATCCACACCCTAGAGTAATCCTGCAGCTCCCATTCATTACCCAGAATGTACTCCGCCAGCTCCTTCCAAATTTTAGGTCCCACCTCAGTCATGGCTTTGATTGGCCATTTGGCCAGGAGAGCGGTGTTCTGCTGCCGGGGGTCAAGGATCCCCAGACCTCCCTTCTTCCTTGGGGTAGCCACCACCTCCCATGCCACCTTTTACAAGCAGCCCTGATCCACTGTGGCATCCGGCTTCCACAAATACCTGGTAGCGGCCTTCTTTATTTTCTTGTATGCAGTGTCGCCCAAAGCATGAATTGTAAGAATCGTTAGTGGGAACCAGAGCAAGGAAAAGGCTGCAGCCGAAATCACCAGGGCTCTCCCAAAAAGCATGAGCCTAGTCCGCCGTTCCCAGCCAGCAATTCGTGCCAAAACTTTATCCACTAGCAGATTATCCTGCACTTTCTCACAATTAGACAACGGCACTTGCAGGCCCAAAAATCTTTCTGAGGAGTTAGCCGGAACACGCCTCAGTCCCCAATCCACTTGAATTTCAAACAAAGTGGAGAGGAAAAACACCGATTTATCCCAGTTTATTGAGGCTTCTGACAAAACACAGTACTCATTTAACACTTTACGCAGTTCCATTAACGAACTTGGCGTATTATCGCTGGCAACCGTTAAATCATCAGCTATTGACCCACCTTTCCAGTGAACAGTGGGGGAAAGACGCATGCCCTTAATTTGAGGGTTGTGTCTGATGTTGGCCAGTAAAACTTTCAATTGAAGGACAAAGATCAAGGGTGCCAAAGGACATCCCTGGCGCAAGGAACGAGACAAGGGAAAGGTTTCAGATTGGAGGTCATTCACTAGCACTGTTGTTGTTGCCTTTGAGTACATCGCTTTAACCCATGTCCTGAAGTGGGTTCCAAAGCCCAACTTTATCAGGGAGGTATTTACAAAGGTCCACCCTACCTTATCGTAGGCCTTTTCCATATCCAGCATAAAAATGACCACCTCTCTTTTTTCTTTCACAATTACTTCTAACGCTTGCACCGTCGACAAGGTGTTATCGAATATTGATCTTCCCTCAATGAAGGCACCCGGTTCCCTTCCCACCACCTCGAAAAGAATGTCGGTCAGTCTCAGCGCTAACACTTTTGCCAACAACTTGTAGGGTACATTTAGGACCGAGATCGGTCTCCAATTGCGAATGTCTCGCCTGTCTCGTTTTTTGTATAGCAGGGAGATCATTCCGTTAACCATCCCTTTTGGAAGCGTGCCCGTATGCAGTGAATTATTAAATATGTCGCAGAAGAACTGTGCAAAAACCTCCCACGAGGAGAGAAAGAACTCTATGGGTAGTCCGTCAGGCCCCGGGCATTTGCCTTTGGCCATACGGTGAGCCGCACGRGTAACTTCCTCTACTGAAATGGGYTCATCCAAGGYCCGACACCTCGACTRGGTGATTGGCCTTAGCGGGCAGTCCCAGTAGGAATGACATTCCGCCAAGTTAGTGTCAAAGGAATCGAACGGCCTTCTAGTAGCCACTATATCCCTAAAATAGTYCATCGCATACGCACRTAGATYTAAAGTTCTAATAGCTGGAGGGGCGTTCAGGGCAAAGGGGTGGGAGAGTTCTCTCAAAACTGGTCTAGATCTGCTCATGATCAGCGACCTGAACGTGTCTTTGGTCATTCTGTCCAAGCCCACAATTCCTTTAACCTCCAGCCACTTCTGCCATGTTGCATGCTTTTGAATTTCTRRAGCCTCTAATTTCTTTAAGGCKTCGGCTYTCTTCTCAGACCAATAGTACTCCAGGAAGGGGTCATCCCYTGCAAATGCATYYGCTWGAGCAATCTCGTCCCGCAACTGTTTCTCCTTCCAACTGSGAGCAGYTGCTTTCATCCGAGAGAATTCCATCATCGCTGACYGTAGAATCCCTATACCTGTGTCCACCCACTCTTCRGGGTCCTCAAACAACTCCTTTGCTAGGAGYCAATCTTTCATTTGTTTTTCGACCCACTGAGAYATYCCTGGATCCTTTAGGATAGAGACATTCAATCTGAAWGGTGGYCTRTGTYTGTCCACTTCGTCCTTAGCTAAGACCTGCATTACCACCGGTAAGTGATCGGACATTGAGGCTATAGCGACCTCCACAGCCGTACAACGGTTTCATGGGTCTCCTCTGGCCAGAATAAAGTCCAGACGTCTTTTCGGGCGAGGAGCATTGGGCGAGGGCCGAGGGCCCTGCCATGTAAAACCGTGTGAGTCTGGGTTCAACGTTCTATAAGCATCCGACAGATTATGAAATTCCATGAAAGAGTTAAGAACTAACGCGTCCTCTCTTATTGGAAAGATGTTGGGAGAATCCAAACCCAGATTTAGTGTGCAGTTCCAGTCCCTTAACGACAGGAGGTTTTCCGTGTCAGGAATAACTTTTGGCAGGTCAACGAAAAAATTAATCCTCCTGGAATAGTCCACTGGGGCATACACAGAAACAATAGCCCAATCTTCCTCCGCTACCGCCAACTTTATCCATGCCCAGCGGCCCTCCGTATCAGCACAGGAATCAATAACTTCAACTTCCAGATTTCTGTCTATTAAAACAACAACTCCCCCTTTAGTTCCATCGGCAGGAGCCCATATTTGCGGCCCTCTCCACCAATTAGCAGTATCCAACATTTTATCCGGACCTATTTTGGTTTCTTGTAGACAGATTATGTGGATGTGCTCATTGTGAGCCCAGGAAGAGAGTCGATGTCTCTTATACTGATCACCCTGATCCCCAAGCCCACGAACATTCCACCTAGCGAGATTAATTTTATTCGGTAATACCAT